ATGGTTTTGTGAAAGAGAAGGAAGCGTGGCAGACCCCACGGCGAGTTGAAACGATATAGCCCTGTCCGTCCCTCCGTCCGTCCGTATGAGAAGAAGTTAGAAGAGCTAGAGAGCTGAAATTTGGCATGCATACTCGAGTGTACCATACGCAGTACAAGTTTATCATATTTTTTCGATAACTCATCCGATATCTTYTTCATCGAGAGTAATCGAAAAATTGATTTGGTTTTTGGCTGAATGAACACATAATAAGCTCACAAAGGAGTTATTGAAAAACCTCGTCTGGCTTTAACAAATTAAAAAAAAAAAAAAAAAAAAAAAAAAATTTGAGATAAATGTGACTTTCTGTTAACCTTAAACTCTTGAAAACGGAAAATCAGTATGTCCTCAATCATTCCTTGCTTTCAGAAGATATAACCATTTAGGGTATATGACCATTAGGGTTTTGCTGATTGGCTTATCTCAGTCTACATAATAAAAAGCTTTACACGCCAAAAACATGTTTACTTATCAGGCGCTTTTATCGACATAAGAACAATTATTTAATTGATATGGTGTTTATTATACCCTGAACCCATTGAAAATAGGAGAGTTATAAGAGCTAAAGAGCTGAAATTTGGCATGCATACTCGTGTGTACAATACGCAGTAGTAGTAGTCTATATAATGGTAATTTAAGCTCGTTTGCTGATCTCTTTCAGATTTTATTATAAATAAATATAATATGATACAAAAATATATACATTTTCTTTTCAAACGATTCTGTTGCAATATAATATATGTTAAACTGTATATAAATTTTACACTGATAATGATATATAGCGTTGTCTGTTGGCTTGAAGTGAGGAGCTGGAAAAATTCAAAATAAAATTCACATTTATAATGCTCTAAAACTTCAGATCCTTGCCCTTATACTTCAGACTTTGCTGAGAAGCCCTATATGATTTGTTTCTTCTCTGCTATAAACTACAAAGGTAAATTAATTTGTATAAATTGATAATTAATATAAATATTTTTATTTTATTT